GCAGGAGATGCAGGTTCAATGCTTGGGTCAGGAAGATCCCCTGTAGGAGGAAATGGCAACCCACTCCAGTATTCTTGACTGGAGAATCCCATGGACAGAGGATCCTGGTGGACTGTAGTCAATGGGGTCAGAAAGAGTTGGACACAACTGAAGGGTCATTTCTCCCATAAGGTATAGGAAAAAGTCCACATGTGGCATTATTCAAATGTTCTGGCTAGATATAATGTCACTTGCAAACCTTATCTCTCAGCTCCACTCTGTTTCTTCATCCCTGGCCTCCTCTGACTATAAAGCCAAACTTCTACCATCTTCAGGGCAACTGCATCCTGTACATCTCAAGATTTTGCTCACATTTGCCTCCACAAACATTCCAGCATGAGTTTTTGCCAAGCTTCACCAGATCCTCTACCTCCCCAGAAGGGACTCAATACTCTTTGTAGAAAGAAAAATCGACAACTCTGACTCTGGTGGCTCAGTGGTAAAGAATCTGCATGCCAATGCAGGAGACTCGAATTCGATCCCTGGGTTAGGAAGATCCCCTAGAGAAGGAAATGGCAACTCACTCCAGTATTCTTGCCTGGAGAACTCCATGGACAGAGGAGACTGGTGGGCCCCAGTCCACGGGGTCACAAAGCGCCGGATACAACTGCGACACTAAGCACCTAATTCTGCCAGAACTCTGCAGTGTCAGTTCTGTAACCATGTGGAAACTTTCTCAATTTTGTGAATCCCCAACTTCCCAGACAAAACCCCATGGGATCCAAGGCTATGCAGAGTTAGACTTTCAGGTCACTGACACCCCTGATCAAATCTAAGAGGGTGACCAAAATCCTCCACTATTTCAGACAGTTCCCACATCTGATGACAGCCTGAAGCTTGCACAACAGCTTTTCGAACAGCTGATGAACCAGATCTCATGAGACCCCCTATATTCAGGCTTCATCTTTACTGCTTCTCTACACCATCAAATTCTTGACTCAGGCAGCCATGGACCTGCCACAGCAGCACTCGCACTGGTAAATGAATGTTTAACAAGTGGAGAGCTCCTTGGCCTCTTCTGCCTGTCTAGGGCACCTGTGTGGAGTCGTAAGAAAGAAATCCACTAATCTGGAAAGGGATCCCCTGAACCCTTAAGGGTAAATGGCAATTCCCGCCTGCCACTGGGTACTATTTCAGTTTTCTACTCATACTATCCCATTGCCACCAAGTACCAGAAAGCAATTTAGTTAGGATGAAGAGTGCCCTGGAGAGGACCATGGCCTACTATCACATGAACCTAGAAAAGACTGCCCTTAGGAGAGGTGGAAGTCAGAAGGGTGACAGGAGTGGCATCTAGTCTGTTGCAACCTGGAGCCTTCAAGCCAGCTGGCAGCTTCTGCCCCATGCCAGCCACTATCAGTGACTGAACTGAACTGAGAATACATGTACATGAATCCATGTGTTGCAGTGGATAAGTCGCTTCAGCTGTGTCTGACTCTTTGCGACCACATGGACTGTAGCCTTCCAGGCTCCTCTGTTCACAGGGATTCTCCAGGCAAGAATACTGGAGTAGGTTGCCATTCCCGTCTTCAGGAAATCTTCCTGATGCAGGGATCGAATCCTGAAGGGTCGAATACCAGTCTCTTATGTGTCCTGCATTGGCAGGTGGATTCTTTACCACTAGGGCCACCTGGGAAGCCCTAGTGTTACTATATGTATTATCATTATTATTATGGTACCATAGGAGGTATTAAGAAAGTAGGACACATGTAGCCATTGTGTTCTCAGCTTCCCTGCATGTCTAATGAAGTCAGTTCAGTTCAGTCACTCAGTCATGTCTGATTCTTTGTGACACAAATGGACTGCAGCACACCAGACTTCCCTGTCCATCACCAAATCCCAGAGCCTGCTCAAACTCATGTCCATTGAGTCGGTGATGCCATCCAGCCGTCTCATTCTCTGTCGTCCCCTTCTCCTCCCACCTTCAATCCTTTTTTTTTCATTTATTTTTATTAGTTGGAGGCTACTTTACAATATTGTAGTGGTTTTTGCCATACATTGACATGAATCAGCCATGGATTTACATGTGTTCCCCATCCTGAACCCCCCTCCCACGTCCCTCCCCATCCCACCCCTCTGGGTCATCCCAGTGTACCAGCCCTGAGCACTTGTGTCATGCATCCAACCTGGACTGGCAATCCATTTCACACTTGATAATATATATGTTTCAATGCTGTTCTCTCAGATCATCCCACCCTCGCCTACTCCCATAGAGTCCAAAAGTTTGTTCTACACATCTGTGTCTCTTTTTCTGTCTTGCATATAGGGTTATCATTACAATCTTCCTAAATTCCATATATATGAGTTAGTATACTGTATTGGTGTTTATCTTTCTGGCTTACTTCTCTCTGTATAATGGGCTCCAGTTTCAACCATCTCATTAGAACTGATTCAAATGTATTCTTTTTAATGGCTGAGTAATATTCCATTGTGTATATGTACCACAGCTTTCTTATCCATTTGTCTGCTGATGGGCATCTAGGTTGCTTCCATGTCCCGGCTATTATAAACAGTGCTATGATGAACATTGGGGTACACGTGTCTCTTTCAGTTCTTGTTTCCTCATCGCCTTCAATCTTTCCCAGCATCAGGGTCTTTTCTAATGAATCAGTTCTTCACATCAGGTGACCAAAGGATTGGAGTTTCAGCTTCAACATCAGTCCATCCAATGAATATTCAGGACTGATTTCCTTTAAGATGGACTGGTTGGATCTCCTTGCAGTCCAAGGGACTCTCAAGAGTGTTCTCCAACACCACAGTTCAAAAACATCAATTCTTTGGTGCTCAGCTTTCTTTATGGTCCAACTCTCACATCCATACATGACTACTGAAAAAAACCATAGCCTTGACTAGACAGACCTTTGCTGGCAAAGTAATGTCTCTGCTTTTTAATATGCTGTCTAAGTTGGTCATAGCTTTTCTTCCAAGGAGCAAGCGCCTTTTAATTTCAAGGCTGCAGTCACCATCTGCTGTGATTTTGGAGCCCAACAAAAGAAAGTCTGTCATTGTTTCCATTGTTTAATATTATAATGTCAATGTCTAATGTTATAGACAGGGCAATACCCTCTTTTTGAGAAACAAAAGCTACCATGTTAAGCACTTACTATGTGCCAGGAGCAAAGGCCTTGCATACATGATCCCATTTAGTCCTCACAGCAATCCCATGAAGTAGGTACTGTTTCTCCATTTTAAAGTTGGGTACATGAGGCTCAGGAATATTAACTAACTTACCCAAGGTAACACAGTAAATCGTTAGCATCAGAATTTACCTGCAGGAGACTAGCTCTAGGATTCTGTATCCTTATCTCTGTGCTAAAAGGCGTTTGAAATAGCACACGCAAGACACACATACACCCAAGTGGTAGACGTGGATCTCTAAGAGGGGACACCAGTTTCACTCTTTGGGCTCCATACACAGGGCTGGCTGTAGAAGGAGACCCCCAAGCAAGTGGACCACTCCAGCTCGGAGTGATTGTGGACAGAAGTGGGCACTTGGATGCTTGGGGGTGGGGTGCTGTGGGGGTTCTCTGGCTTCCCAATTGGGAAGACTGGGCTGGGGACAAGAGTGACAGACCAACTCTGAATTTCAGAAACACCCAGAGTAGCAGTCACCAACTTCATCGCATCCTTGTGCCTGCGAGGCAGCTACAGGCACAGAGAAGTGCTGAGGCTTGCCTAAGGTCACACAGCTAACTAGAGCGCAGGTGCAGTGTAGAACCCTGGCCTTCAGGCTCCAGTTCGGTGCTCTTGCTGCCGCTCCACTCCCACTCGCCCCTCAGGTTCAGTGCACAGCAGTCAGAGGGAAGCCACGTCTTTGTGAGTGAAGCCATTGCCTGGAGGGTGGTTCTCAGTGTGGCCCAGAGACCTGCAGAAGGGCCAGTCTTCACGTTTCACCCAGGACTGACTGGGGACTGAGATCCAGCAATATGGGACTTTGCAAGCCCTCTAGGTGACTCTGATACACACTCAAGTGTGCAAACCACCGGCCCAGACAGAAAGGCAAAGTGCCGAGTGCTGCAGCCATACACAAGCGTTTGGATCATCAACTTGCACAGCACAAAGAAGGATCATCTTCCTAGGGAAGGACAGTGAAAAGGAACACAGCTCTCAAGCCACACCTGCAGAGCAAGGTCACCTTCAAACACATGTGGCGGTTAGACATGCACAGAGGGAGAGTGCAGCTAGTACTTGCTCATCCACAGGTGCATCAGAGGTAGTGTAGTGTTGCCAACTCAGCAGTTCCCCAGAGATGTGCCAGTTCCACTGCTTGTTGCCTGGGAGGTGCATCCCCACCCTCTGGGAAATTGCCATGCATGATCATAGAACCTCTGATCTGGGAGGGATCTTAGAGAGTACCTACTCCATTGCCCACCTCTACCACATCACTGGTGATGCCCCTGATTTTCCTTCTCCAGAGGAACCTGGCAGGCTACAGTCCATGGGGTGGCAAAGAGTCAGACAGGACTTAGCACTGAGCACAGTCATTTTTAGGAACAGCGGTAGGCCGCACAAAACATCAGTGGCTCCTAGTTTGTGGCCTCTGGCTTAATATCTTTCTTTCCCACTTGGCTCTCTGCTCCACAGGGGCACATGCCCGTGGGTCTGCTCTGCCCACCAGTGTCTGGATTCAACAAATGGAAAATAAAAATAGAAGATGGACCGACCCTCCCAGTAGAACACCAGGTTCAGAAAGAATACACTGGCATGGAGATGGCATTCTGTCACTCCTCGCCTCTTTTTCAATTGCCCACTGGAAATGTCGCCATGTCCCTTTAAGCCCCACTCCCGGTTGACCCCTGCAGGCCTCCTTACCCTCTGCCCTGAAGTCATACTCGGGCCACATGGGTTCTGGTGGGGCGGGGCCCTCTGTGACGTCACCAAGGGCCCAGCCCTGCCTGGTCCTCAGTCTCCAGGTGCCAGCGCAGACCAGCGCACCAGGAGCCGCTTCGTCTCAGCTCACGATGCGGCCTGTTATATGGTTCATTTTTTGGCCTACGTTTGTCTCGTTTATCTTTGCCTATGTGTTTTATGCTCCGAGAGAGGAAGCCGAAGAACTTCTGGGGATGGTGCCCAGCGGAAGGCACTTCCGGATTCGGCAGAATCAACCAGAGCATGCCCCAGGCTGGTTTGGGAGCAAGTCACACTGGCTTTTACTCTTCCTCATGTTGTTGGTGATCCTGAAGTTTCTAGGAGGCAGTGACAAGAGTAACGTGTGCACTCCTCGTGGCCATCGGGGCTGTTCATTTGGCTCTCCAGGAAGAAAGAAGATAAAGACTTCCCCCGACAAAGACTATGTGCGGTGCCTTAACCGAGGTCGAGAAGGAACTTGTGAACCTTGTGTCCAGGGTGCAGAATCTGAAATTCAATGAGGCAACCGGTGAGAAACGCCAACGTCCCAATATCGAGGTTTCTGCTGACGCACAGAATAACGTTACATTATATGAGGTATGGAACACCGGAGACTCCGCTGGAGTGGATTTGCACATTGAAGAAGAGGAGTAGTTGAGTGTTGACAAAATATATCCAAACTAATAAAAGTATTTTGAGGCAAAAGTAAATAGCCTCAGATATTTTTTATTCACGTACAGTTTTACCTTTTCCAGAATGTCGTATAATTGGTATCATGCAGTGTATAACCTTTTCCAGACTGGGAGACCTGCGTTCGATCCCTGGCTTGGAAACATCCCCTGGAGAAGGGAAAGGCTACCCACTCCAACATTTTGGCCTGGAGAATTCCATGGACTGTAGTCCATGGATTCGCAAAGAGTCGGACACGACTGAGCGACTTTCACTTTCACAGTGTATAACCTTTTCCAGACCAGCTTATTATACTTAATAACATTCATTCAGGTTTCATCCATTTCTTTTTGTGATTTGATAGCCCATTTCTTTTTATTCTTGAATAATATTCTGTTGTATTGATGCACGGTAGTTTGTTTATCCATCCAGCTAGTAAAGGACATTTTGATTGCCTCCAATTTGTATGCATGTCTGTGTGTGTGAAAGGGAGTATGAATTAAGCTGTTATAGAATTCATGTGCATGTTTTTGTGTGAGCATTAACTTTCACATCATTTGGTGAACTATCTAGGAGCAAAATTGCTAGATCATGGGGTATGACAGTGTTTAGCTATGTAAGACATTGCTTCCAAAATGACTGTGCCATTTTGCATCCCCACTAATAATGAATGAGAGTTCCTGTTGTTCAGCTGAACAATATCGAGGCTGGCCCATCACCCACCGAACTACAGAGTAGTACCCCACTCAGGGTGCCCCATTTAAGTGCCTGACGTGCTGATCCACAGAGTAGGACCTCAGCGTGGGGGGGGCGGTGTGCTCTATGTGCCTGATATTCAGATCTACAAAGTAGGCCCCCACCCAGGGTGCCCCTTTCAGTGCCTGAAGCACCAATCCACAGAGTAGGACCCCAGCGGGGGTGGAGGGGGAGGGGTCCTCTATGTGCCTGACACAGGAACAACAGAGAAGGACCCCAGGCAAGGGAACCCTTTAAGTGCCTGAACGGGGTGGAGCTATGGAGAAAGACTAGCCAAAGAGGCCTTCTGATTGCTAGCTACCAGAGGCTCAAGAACAACAACAGCAAAAAACAAGCAAACTCTGATAGGGCCATAACTCCCGTGGCTGAGGCAGTCCGGGTCCCTGCACATTTGGTGCCATCAGAGTCCCTGTGACCCAAGCAGCTGCATCACCTTCATGCTCAACCCTGACTGGGGCAGAGCTTCCACAGGCTCTGCATCTATCCACACGGTGTCACTTCGGCTGTGTCCAACTCTTTGAGACCCTGTGGACTGTGGCCTGCCAGCTTTCTCTGTCAGTGGGGTTCTCCAGGCAAGAATACTGGAGTGTATTGGCCAATACTGGTTCCCCGTAGCCTTCTAAAACACTATATTTCCTGCTGCCCTAGCTGCCAACTCCCCTGAGTACCTGGTGCTGCCAGAACCCCTGTGACCCAAGCAGCTGTACCACCTCCATACCTGGCCCTCACTGGGGCAGACCCAAGTCCTCCAGGGCAGCCTCAGGAGTAAAGCCCAGTGGACAACCTACCTGCAGAGGTGGAGATAAAACCACAATTGAAACCCAGGGGCAGTGTGGCTAAGGAAGACCCAAAACCATCCCACCAGCTGTACAAGTTGCAAATTAAATCCACACAATCAACTAGGCAGATTTTGTGTCTCCGGTATATATAAAAAGACACTGAGAGCTCCCACAAAAGAAAATGTGCTAGTTCTGATAGCTGTGGACATTGGAAGCAACCAGACACAGGAGTAGGACCAGATTAGAGTCTAAGCTGCCCTCATAGCAGGCCCAGAGACCAACACAGTGTTGGAGGGCATCCTATGGGAGGTGAGGTGGACTGTGACTTCCAGCGAGAGAAAGGACACTGACAGCAGTGACTCAAGAAAAACATTTATTATTCTTATATTTTGACTTGTTCTGTAATTTCTTTTTCTTTTTATCTTTTTTTTCTTTTCTGTTTTTCCATTTCTGTTTTCCATTTCCCCCCTCTCTGTTATAGTTGTCGACTTTATTAGCACTATGAAATCTAATTAAGCTTTTAAGTGGTTTTTTTTCAATCACAGTTTTTATTTTTGTTGTAAACCTCTGCATCTACATTGGCCTTTTGCAGTTCTCTGGAGTTTTCCTTGCCTTTTTTCCTTCTTTTTAAAATTTTTTTTTAAATTTTAATTTTTAAAAACCTATTATTATTTTTTCTACATTTATTCCTTTGTTCGCTTTTCCCCTAGCAGTTAATCTTTAACATATATGTATCTTCTTTATCTACCTTTATTTAACTTTGCATTTCCATTCTTTCTATCTTTCCTTTCTTTTTCTCACCATATTCGTTAGTTTTGTTTTCATAGCTTTATTCCCCAGTTGGCATCTTGCTTTAGTTTTGTTTTCCAGTTTGTGCTTTAGTTAGTTTTGTTCTTAACTGGTGGATATCATTTTTTGTTTCCTTTGTTCACCAGATCAATGTATTGTACTTTATTTTTGTTGGACTGTTTTGATTTTGCTTACAGGTGTATATGTATATATTCCATTATTTTAATTATTAGTTGCCTGATTTTGTAACTGCCATTTGTCTGGGGTTCATCTTTCATTTCTCATTTTTGAGTATTTGTTTTAATCTCTTTTAATGCCATAACAAACTACCTGTGGAATCTCCATTTTTGGCCAGAGATCAAGCCTTGACTTTTGGAGTGGGAGCACTGACTCCAAGACCCTAGACTACCAGAGAACTCCTAACCCTAGGGAGTATCAAATAGTGAGAACTCCCACAAATGAAACCACTTGAATACAAGACTGGGCACCACCCAACCACCAGTAGCACTCTGTGCAGGACACCTCATCCAAACAACAAACAAGACAAAAATACAAACCCAATCATCAGCAGACAGGATTACCACCTCACTCAGCCTTGCCCATCAGAGAATAAAAAATACTCAGCACAAATCTCACCCTAAATGAAGTTTACACATACCACTGGACCAACCTTAGGAGGGCAGTAACCAAAAGGAAGAAAGAATTCAACCTTGAAGCCTGGGAAAAGGAGACCTCAATCACAATAATTTAAAAAAAAATAATGAAAAGGCAGAGAAATACTAAACAAATGAAGGAACAAACTAAAAACACTAAAGTCCAAATAAATGAAGAGGAAATAAGCAAACTACCTGAAAATGAATTCAGAATAATGATAGTAAACATGATCAAAAACCTTGAAAACAGGATGGAGAAAATGCAAGAATCAATTAACAAAGACCTAGACGAATTAAAGAATAAACATACAGAGACAAACAGCACAATTACTGAAATTAAAAATACTTTAGAAGGAATCAACAGCAGACTATATGAAGCAGAAGAACAGATCAGTGATCTAGGAAGATAAAATGGTGGAAGTAACTGCTGAAGAGCTGAATAAAGTAAAAAGAATGAAAATAACTGAGGATAGTCTCAGAGATCTCTGGGACAATATTAAATGCACCAACATTTTGAAAATTTCCCCAACATGGAAAAGGAAATAGTGAAGTGAGAAAGAACAATCTCAAGTTGAGTCTATCTGGACTACGTTCCCTGTGCCATGGTAAGAGGGGAGTGAAAAAGTTGGCTTAAAGCTCAACATTCAGAAAACTAAGATCATGGCACCTGGTCCCATCACTTCATGGCAAATAGATGGGGAAACAGTGGAAACAGTGGCAGACTTCATTTTGGGGGGCTCCAAAATCACTGCAAATGGTGACTGCTGCCATGAAATTAAAAGACGCTTACTCCTTGGAAGGAAAGTTATGACCAACCTAGATAGCATATCAAAAAGCAGAGACATTACTTTGCCAACAAAGGTCTGTCTAGTCAAGGCTATGGTTTTTCCAGTAGTCATGTATGGATGTGAGAATTGGACTATAAAGAAAGCCAAAGAATTGATGCTTTTGACCTGTGGTGTTAGAGAAGACTCTTGAGAATCCCTTGAACTGCATGGAGCTCTAACCAGTCCATCCTAAAGGAAATGAGTCCTGAATATTCACTGGAAGGACTGATGTTGAAGCTGAAACTCCAATCCTTTGGTCACCTGATGTGAAGAGCTTACTCATTGGAAAAGACCCTGATGCTGGGAAAGATTGAAGGCGGGAGGAGAAGGGGATGACAGAGGATGCGATGGTTGGATGGCATCACTGACTCAATGGACATGAGTTTGAGTAAACTCCGGGAGTTGGTGATGGACAGGGAGGCCTGGCGTGCTGCAGTCCATGGGGTCGCAAAGAGTTGGACACGACTGAGCGACTGAACTGAACTGAATTAAGTTGAAGGCTAACCACAATTAGACATTTTTGCCATGATGAACAAAATAATTTTGCCAATTCTCTTGCCACTCTCTAGTTCCTTCTGTGATAGTCTAAGCGAAGTCCATCTTCCTTGAAATCACCAAAGACATCAAGTCTGACGTTTTGGGACATGTCAATTCTTCTTTGAACCCTATTTTCACGAAGGAAAAAATGTTTCATGCCTTATGAAACAAAATAAAAAGTTTACTTGCAGTTAGTTCCCCAGTGACTGCATCAAACCCCACATGAATCTTATGTTCAAAGTCTGAAGAAAGAGAAAGATAGCTATAATCTCTTCAAAATTTTTCTCATACCCTTTCTTTTTCTCTTCTTCTGGGACCCCTATAATTCGAATGTTGGTTGTGCTGGGTTTTTTTGCTACATGTGGGCTTTCTCTAGTTGCAGCAAGCAGGGGCCACTCTTTATTGTGGTGCACTTGCTTTTCATTATAGTTTCGTCCCTTGTTGTAGATCATAGGCTCTAGGTTTGCGGGCTCAGTAGTTTAGTGCACAAGCTTGGTTGCTCTGTGGCAAG